AATGAGACAGATGTTGAATAGGGACGAACCTACCGTACATGTTGAACCGACGGAGCCAGTTCCCGAGCAATCTGAGGAAGGGAACTACAGCCGCCAAGTGAGTCGAGTAGGGACTCAAGGTGAGCAAAGGGATGGCCCAGAAGGGAGAAACAACAAGGATGAGCGGATGTATAAGAATTTCTTGGGTGCGAAACCACGAAGCCTCTCAGGAACCCCGAAGCCGGTTGAGATTATGGATTGGATCTCTGAGATGGAGATGGTGTTTGAGAGCTGCAGCTGTAATGAGAAACAGAAGACTGTCTTCGCAGTAAGACAGCTGAAAACTGGAGTCTTGAGCTGGTGGAAGCTATTGGCAGATACGATGCCACGAGGAGAAGCCTTAAGGATGTCGTGGGAAGAGTTTTTGGAACAGTTGAAAATGCAATACTGTTCGGAGATAGATCTGATAGACCTAAACAACGAGTTTCAGAACCTGAAGAAAGGGAAGATGAGTGTTGATGAGTATGCCACCGCATTCACCGAAAGGATGAAGCTATTCCCCTACTTGGTGCTTACTGAACTCTCCAAGATTGATAGGTTTGCTAACGGACTGCCCACTGACTTTGGCCCAATGGTCAAAATGGCAACTACTTTGAAAGCAGCTGTTAGGGCAGCTAAGAACGTAGAGGCCCAGATAAGAGAAAAGGGTCTAGAAAAATATAAGGTAGGAGAAAAGCGGAAGTTTGAAGGATCTTCGAGGCCGAACAAGGAAATCAAATTCTCAAAGTTTGGAGGAGCAAATGGAGGTGAAGCAAGATGGTGTGATAGATGCAAGAAGAAGCATGGTGGAAAGTGCAATGAGGAAGTGACTTGTTACAAGTGTGGGAGGACTGGTCACTATTCCAAAGACTGCACGCATAATGACAAAGTATGATATGGATGTGGAGGCAAGGGGGGCACATGTCCAGAGACTGCCCAAGGAAAAATAAAGTAGCAAGACCAGAAACACCACCAAGGCTAAGAGCATTTCACATGATCCTCGACGAAGCAGAGAACCATGCGAGGAATCAAGAATGAGGACTTCTTACCCGAGGATTGGATTATGCAGTAGTCATAGTTTCGTATGATGTAGCCTAGTAGAGGCATAGTCTAGGGTGAACTTGAACACCTATGTAACAGTTTCAAGAAATAATATAAAACCTTTGTTTTGTTATCTGATGTGTTAATTTGTTGTATGGTTTTCTTGTATGGTGACTTGGAGAAACTGCGGGACAATACTTGGGACGAGTATGAGTAGGTGTGAATGGTAGTAGAGGCCTATACTACCGGAAGCACAGGACTCACACTTGGATCGGGGAAAGTCACAAGGTTACCAAGAAGCCAGTAATTGATTTCGTTTTATTCAAGTATGTCATTACCATCGTTTCGGTAATGACTAAGACGATTGTTGATATTCGGACCCTAGTGGTCATATCAAATTGAGTCCGACTACGATAAGTAGGTTACGTGGTTCAGAGAACCAAGTTTGAGGAAGCGTCCGACTTAAACCAAACAATGGAAATCAAAAGCGATCAATAGAAGTATCGCACTCGTTGTTAAAGAAGTTGGTAGCTAGAAATGCCTAATGTTAAAAGTGTGATTATATCACATTAGAACAGGAAGGAAGGCATAGTCTGTTTTAGAATTTAACACTAAGAGATCTAAGTCTAAGTGTTGCAACATACGATGAGAGGTCATTAGAATATGACACATCGGTCCCTTGTATTAATAAAAGAACTTATCTTAAGATCGTATCCAGTGAGGATCGAGATTGTGACTTGAAGTTCATAATTTAGAGTCTAACGTGAGATAGAGAGCGTATGCAAGATCAAGCACCGCCTGTAGTCAGGGAGTCTAAGAGTTAGATACTCGTTCGAAGAAACGTCGAAATTATGACATAGGATGAAGAGATAACAAATAGAGTTATCATATGAACCCTGTTTCGTTGATGATTCCGGGACGTAATCATCCTAAGGGGGAGATAATTGTAACGCCCGCAAATCCGGGCTAGTCAAATTATAGACAATAGGAGTCGAAAACGACTTTTCGACAAAAGATTATTTAGAATAAATAATCTTAACCAAGTTGTAGTATATGTCACGAGGTTTCCGTGCATATAAAGAACGCCGAAATCCGAGTTATAACGAAGAAGTTATGACCCGTTGAAGTTTCGCAACGGAACCGGTACGATACCGGAAAGCGTAAATAGTGAATTTACGATAGAGCGAGATTTAGCCTTAGCGATCTAAATGAAAGTCGTAGAATATGTTAAACTAAGAACATCGATAAAAAGAACGCCCAAATTTGACTTCATATGAAGAAGTTATGATTTTTCGAAGTTTCGGACTAGCAGTATACAACCCGAAATTCGAATATTAGATCGAGCGGGTTTTAGCCGACACGACCTGAACGAGAACCGAAGATCTTGTTGAGAGTAGCGTAACGAGAAAAAGATGGGCAAAAACGGATATCGGATGAAGAAGTTATGAGGATTTAACGGATCAATCGTGTCCCGACCCGTTAATAATATAAAATTTAAAATCGAGCCAAAATTAGCCGACGAAGTCTAAACAAAAGTTGTAGAGTACGTTCCCACCTTCGCGTGGATATAAAGAACATCAAAAACGGAGCTCGTATGCCAAAGTTACGAATTTTTGAAGTTAGAACTCGAAAATGCGAACACTGATGCGAAGTCGATGACGTGGCTCGATCAGGACCGTCACTTGCTGAACACGGCCTTCGCTCCGGATCACGCCACGCAGCATCGCCTTACGCCTTGCATACGAAGCGAACGCCCTGCATCCGAGTACGCCTCGCATCCGAAGTCTCTACGCCCCGCGCCTTCCGGTGTTGCGAGCCAGCTGGTGCGAAGCTAGCACCCTTATCCGAGCAGTACGCCCAGCGTACCCTCGGTACGCCCCGCGTAGAGGCGAGCTTCGGCCCCTATAAATAGGGTGCGAACTTCTCCGGATTTTTCACACCATTTCTCATTCTCTCTCTAAAATCTTTCTCTCTCTAGGGCTTTGAAGTCTCCCTAAGGTCTAGGTGAACCCCTAGCACCCTAAGGAAGCCCCGAGGCTCCCGGAGTCCCGAGAAAAAGGAGTTTTTCGGTTTCGAAACGCTGCTCCAATTAAGTTCCGGTTTTCGATAAAATTCGCTGTAAGTGTGCTACGCTTACGCAATTTTTAATATAGCTTTCAAATAATTATAGGAATGTTATTAGGTCCTTAAAATAATTATTTGGGCTATTATTATGAGTTATATTGAGCATTATTAATGCTTAATAATAGTCAAACTGATTTAATGTGTCGCGGTTATCGTTAAACTAAACCCTAGTTGTATCGGTACTAGGTTTTATCGAAGGAATATCGTTTTGAGAGTATCGAAGCGCTGTCCGAGTGCTGAGTCACCACCTAATCAGGTGAGTGCATGGTCCCTTTCATCTTACACATAGATATGAAGTATTTTATATAAACTACGTGCTATGTGTGCATATTATCTGAATACTTGTTGTCTATGCTGGATGAACGTTTTATACATGTTTTAAAGGATTTAAACTGTATACGTATTTTATATATACGAATATGTTGGGTATGATGATGGGTAGATAAATGATGAGGGATAGAAGATGACGTGAGTATACATTGGCAGCTATAGACTTAGTGCCTATGGGACAAACACCGGTAGCTATGGACTTAGTACCTGTTAGACGTTGGTAGCTATGGATTTAGTACCTGTTGGTAGCTATGGACTTAGTACCTATTAGTTAGACACTGGTAGCTATGGATTTAGTACCTGTAGGAATTGGTAGCTATGGACTTAGTACCTGTTGAGCGTTGGTAGCTATGGATTTAGTACCCGATGAGTAAGATATAGCAGCTATGGAATTAGTGCTTTACGAATGAACATTGACAGCTATGGATTTAGTGTCAGTCCTAGAACCCTGGAAGTAAGGGACTTCGGAATAAACGAACGAATAATAGATGACTCTTAGGTTAAATCCTTAAGAGTAAAGAAGATAACGGGGATGGGTAATGGGGTTAATTGTTTGATGACTAAACATAACAATTATATTATTGTGGGTTGAAAACCCTATGTACTCACCAGGTTTCCCAACCTGACCCACTCAGTTTATGTATATTACAGGTGACGAAATGAAGTGACTTTACACTGAGAGATTTAAAGAGATGTAGATCACTAGTGTAATTAATTGTAAGTTCTGTTTATGCTTATGTTTCTGTATTAACGATGACATCCCAAAAGTTTTAAGATGAATAAAAATACGTTTCTTCGAAAATGTTTTAATAACGTATTTATCGTGTTTTTCTGGGAACAAATTCCGCAACCTTTTTATAAAATGAAGTACTCTGATTTTTAAAGCATAAACAAAATCGGTCTTTTTCTGGCCGTGATTTTGGGGATGAAGTACTCTGTTATTATATTTATGCTTAACTTCTTCGATCGTACACTTAAGATGAAGGGAAATGAGTTGGTAGAGCTGATTGGCTCGATCAAGTTTCGAGGGAACAACAACTTGGATCTCAGAAAGAGATTTAAAGATAAGCTCGAGCTTGTTGTCAAGACCGATAACATTTTGATAAAGATTTGAATCAAGGGCTACGACTTTCTAACCAAGGGAATTAACATTGGATATAGATGAGGAAACATTGCCTCAGAGTTCTAACAGGGAAAAATGATCTGCAATATTTTCACTTGAAGATCATGTGTCCGAGGTAGACCTTCCAGACTTCTTATCATCATCATCATCATCATCATCATCATCGTTATCTAGATCATCATGTGGTTCAGAGGGCTTGGATTCATCTACTGGATTAGCTTGAGACTCGTTACCTTGATCGTTTTCCAAGGTAACTTTAGGAGATGAGTGCTTTTTTGTTGGATTTAGCATCTTCTTCTTTTTTGGATTCCTCGAAGGATGAGGAGAGATCAAAATCAAAAAATGGTTTTGAGGAGGAGGGGTTCTATAGTATGTTGAAAGCAGTAGGGATCAGAATTGCACCAACTATTGTGTTGTCATCTTCGAACATAACCTCATCGGAGAGATCATAGTTAGTAGGAGGCTTAGGAGCTTCTTCATTTTTGAACTTCGGAGGAGGATCATCTGAAACATTTGTAGAGTTAGGAACATCTCCTGTAGAAGTAATCTTCTGAGCTTCCTTGAAAGGATTGAAAGTATGATCAGTTTCGTCATCGGATGGAAAAGTGAAAGGAAGACGACTTCGGAGAGCACGTTGACGCATAGAAATAAATGTATATTCAACTTGTTCTCTAGTGAGATCTAAATGTCTTGTATGAGCCTTGTTAACAAAATCAGACCAATCATCAAAAATACCCAATCGTCCTTTACCTTAAGCAGGTATCAGACCAGTTGTGGCTTTCGAAGTAAGAGGGACTACTCTATCTTTGGAAAGCTTAGAATTAGAGACAGGGGCCTCTAATTGTGCTTATATAGAAATGATAGGGATTTCCAAAAAACTTGTGAGTGTGTCCCAGGGGGCATCGAGGGGCTTTGTTCAATACATGTACTATCTTTTTTAGAAGATGGGGGTAGATTATGTGCAGATTCCCCGTGAGTGTGTGCATATGATATTGAAACTCCGAAGGGTACTTCTGAAGAGTGGATGGGAGGGGTAGGCTGAGATCCAGAGTCACATTAAGTGCCAATCTGTGAATCCTTTTGAGAAGATTCACTGGCTTTTGTTCTATTTTTGGCTCGGACTTTTGAGGAAGATTGCTTTCATTTGGCCATCTTTTTCTTACGTCCACCTAAAGAAGTTGATTTATTCACATCCGAGGCTAGATCATCTGAGATTATGGTAGATTGTGATGAGTTAAGCACAATCGAAATCCTAAGATGATTTTTGAGATATGGTGATTCGGATGGAACTGTGGCTAACATGTTGATATGCTCGCAGATCCGGGCTAGTCAATTTAGAGACAATAAACATCAAAAATGAGTTTTTGATGGAAGATTATTTAGAAGTATTAATCTTTTATAAGTGGTAGTATATGTTACAAGGGTTTCGTACATATAAAGAACGCGAAAATCCGAGTTATAACAAAGAAGTTATGACCCGTAGAAGTTTTACGGCAAAACCGACATGACACCGACAATCGTAAAAAGTGAATTTACGATAAAATACTTTCTAGCATTAGCGATCTAAACAAAAGTCGTAGTATATGTTAAGTCGAGAGTGTTCATAAAAAGAAAGTCCAAATTTGACTTCGTATGAGGAAGTTATGATTTTCTAAGATTTAGCATAACAATGCACCGCATGGAAATTCGAATTTTTGATCGGTCGATTTTTAGCCAAAATAATCTAAACAAGAAATGAAGATATCGTTAATAGGAGTTAAAAGATAAAATGACAGTAAAAAACGGAGCTTGTATGCGAAAGATATGGACGAAGATTAGTCTCTACTTTTTCGAGCGCGGCTAATTCGATACAGTTTTGTAAATCTAAGATAGAATGAGAATTAGACAACATGATCTAAATGAAAGTTGTACTCGTAAATACCAGCGCGTGGATATAAAGAACATCGAAAATGGAGCTCGTGTGTTAAAGATATGGACGAAACTTAGTCTCTACTCTTTAAGCGCGGCGAATTCGAATACAATATTTTAAATCTAAGATACAATGAGAATTAGCCGACGGGTTCTAAATTAAAGTTGTAGTACTCATAATTACCAACATGTGGATATAAATAACATAGAAAATGGAGCTCGTACGCAGAAGATACGGACGAAGCTTAGGGGCTACTCTACGATAAATTCCCTATAAATAAAGGATGAATCCTTCATATTTTCTTCACACCATAACCTTTCTTTCTCTCTCTAACTTCTCTCTAGCCTACATAAACCTCTACCAAGTCTAGGGAACCTCCCTAGCATGAGAAGGAAGCCCCATAGCACCCGACGCCTCCGAGAAGAAAAGCGTTCGGCTTGGAAACGCTACTCTAGCAAAGCCCGGTTTTGAGAAAAACCCGTTGTTCTATCGAAGGAAATTGTTTTAAGAGTAACGAAGCGATGTATTCGTTTGGAATCACCACCTCAACAATTGAGTGCATAGTCCCTTTTATCTTACACATAGATATGAAGTATTTTAATATAAATTACATGCTATGTGTGCATATTGTCTGAATACTTGTTGTCTATGTTGGGTGAAAGATTTTTATACATGTTTTAAATGATTTAAATTGTATATGTATTTTATACCTACAAAATGTGTTGGGTAAAACATGGGTAGATGAAATAGTTTCTGTGTGATAACATGATGGAGGACATCAATGTTGACAGTGATCCAGTCATCTAGTGGTATATAGATGATGACCACGGACTATACTAGATAGTCAAGTGGAACGCTAGCAGGATCGTAACCTGTAGGTGTTTTTGAACTAGGTGCTCATTAGGTATTTTGAACTAAGTGTGATCACTAGGTATTTTTGAAATAAGTGTGTTCACTAGTTATTTTGAACTAAGTGTTCACCAGATGTTTTGAACTACGTGTTCACCAGTTGTAATCTATAAACCTTGGTCAAGATGGACTTCGTACCAATTCCTTAGGACAATCCTTTGGAATGAATGAATGAGAAATAGCTTATCCTTAGAGTAGATCCTTAAGAGTAAAGAAGATAATGGGGATGGGTATTTGGGTTAACTCTTTGATGATTAAACATAATGGGTTGAAAACCCTATGTACTCACCAGGTTTCCTAACCTGTACCACCATGTTTGCCGGACAATCCTTCAAGGATTAAGTGCATCAATATAGTCCATAGGTCGGGAACAACAAACTTCTTGAACTCCTTAGCTTTGAATTCTCCATTGTACCTAATTTGATTCAGAAACGACTGAAACTCTTCATTCGTAGGTTCTTGAACCCAGAGACATTTGGGTTTTTCTGCAATGTCGATCGCTTTGAGTGAGATATTCTGTTGAACCGGAACAATCTTCACTTCCAGTGCATTAGACTCAATTTTTATATGTTTGAATTCTTTGTGAGGAATACAAAGAGGAAGTTTAGGGTTAGGAATTTTGGTGAGAGGAACCGTGATAGGGTGGTGGGAGATGAATTCGATCATGATGCGAATTGATTCATCATAATCCATGGGGTCAAGAGAAAACAACTGGGTTGTTTCTCAGAGGATGAACTTGGTGGATGAAGATGAGGCGAATCACTTTGAAGGATACTTCTTGGATGAAGGTTTAGAAGTTTTGGGAGCACTTCGAGAAGATGCCATTATTGTAGGGTTGAGAAAGCTTGCATAACAGAGTATGGAGAGAAGGATCTAGGAAGACATAAGACTAAGTGAGAAGTAGGAATAATTAGTATTCAAAATCCTTTTATAGGTTGAATATTTCGGGTCTGGTCAAAGAAAGGAATGATAACACCCAAACACGAAATGGGTCACATTAAATGCATTGCATAAAAAGCCTTCCTAAATGACTGTTTCGATTGAAAGATGGGACGTTTGTTTGTTCAAAAGAAAAACCTTTGATTAAGTTCAGATTTCACTCATTGATTTATTGGAACATGTGCCAAAGCACGTTTATTGATAATTAAGAGGATAATCGTAAAGAAAAATTACCATTAATATATTAATGAAAAATGTTTTGAAATAAAAACTATAATGATAACCATAAAATTCTTTCATTGTGAGGATCTCGGAATAATCCGATCTGAGATGAGATGTCGTAAGATACTTTGGAAAGAAGATAAACATACCATTAGTATGTAATATAGAGTTCAACATGACACAGTCTCAAACTGAAAATCAGAGGTAAAAATGAATGAAGATCTTAGAGGACCAGTTTTGAAAAAGATTTGAGGTTGCAAGAGCTCAGAGGAAGATAAGTGACAAACTCATATTACCTTTTCAGATTTGAATTCCGAGGTGACCTTCATAATAAATGCTTTTTTTTGAAAAATACTCCAAGATGCGAATTTCTGAAGTAATCCGATGTAACTATTTCAGTCTAGACTTAAAGTGATGAGGAAAGCTAAAAAACTTAAAGACTGGAAGTAAAGGTTAGAAAAATAGATACATATGATGATCCTATATTTTCGAGAGGAAACAATTCCGAGGAGAAGAGTATTTGAATTCATAATTATTTTACTTTATAATGTTTCCATTAAAGAGTACAAGCCTCTTGGAAGAATTGTGGATCAAACATCATCATTCCCATTTTCTTTAGAAAAGCATTAAATTTGGTTTCCTCTAATGCCTTAGTAAAGACATCAACAATTTCATCATCACAAGGAACAAAAATGAGCTCAAAGTTTCCTTTTAGAACATGATCTTTAATAAAATGGTACCCAATGTCAATGTCCTTGGTCAGGGAGTGATGAATTAGATTGTGAGAAATTGCAATTGCACTTTGAGAGTCACAACAGATAGAAATCTATTGAAATCGATAACCATAGTCCAAAATCTGAGATTTCATCCAAAGAACTTGCGAAGTGTAGCTGGCAGCAACAATGTATTCTGCTTTGGCTGTTAAAAGAGCAATACAATTCTATTTCTTGGATGACCAGCTAAACAAGCTTCCACCTAAAAATTGGCAACCTCCAGATGTGCTTTTTCTATCTAGTTGAAGACCTCCATAGTTTGAGTCGAAATAGGCTTGAAGAAGGAAACTTTCATTTTCCAGATACCAAATTCTGAGGTTCTTTGTTCCTATGAGATATCAGAAAATTTTCTTGATGGCCAGAAGATGAGACATCTTTGGATTAACCTGGAATCTAGAACATAAACATGTCAAGAACATGGTGTCCAGACGACTTGCTGTGAGATAGAGTAGCGATCCAATCATTCTCCTATACTTTTTTTGATCAACAACAACACCTAATGGGTCCGAGAAGATCTTGTGACCGAAACAAATTGGAACCTCTGCAGAGGCACATGTGTCCATTGAATATTTTTTCAGAAGTTTGTAAGTGTATTTCTCTTGATGAATAATGATTCCTCTATTGGTCTGATTAACTTGTAGAATGAGGAAGAAAGTTAATTCACAATTCTTGCTCATATGGAATCGACTAACCATTAACTTTGCAAAATCAGCAACTATCATTGAATCCGTTGATCCAAAGATGATGTTGTCAACATATATTTGAACTAACATGAGATGGTTTCCATTCGATCTTCAGAATAATGTAGGATCAAGAATTCCTATTTGATAACCGAAGCGCTTTAGAAAATCTATGAGAGTCACGTACCAGGCGCGTGCAGCTTGCTTGAGGCCATAAACAACTTTTTCAAGTTAAAGCCTTTGTGAGCAACATAAGCGAGAAAGATTCGGATGGCTTAAAAATGAGCAACAAGAGAAAAGGTATCGTCGTATTTGAGTCCTTCGATATGACTAAATCCTTTGGCTACCAATCTCGATTTGTTTCTAAATGTAACTTTGTTTTTGTCAAGTTTGTTTTGGAAGGCCCATCTGGTACCAACAATAGGGTGATACTGACGAGGAGGGACAAGAATTCACACTTGATTTCTGTCAAATTTTGCTAACTCTTCTTGGATGGTTGTAATCCAATAAGAATGTTCTAAGGCTTCCTTGATGGATTTTGGTTCAACTATTGATATGAATGTTGAGAAGTGACACTCATTTAGAATCTTGGTAGTAGAGCGAGTTTGAACTCCAGCGTTGAGATTTCTGTTGACTTGATGTGGAGGATGATCCTTTGTCTAGATATGCAATCTTGGAACTTCTTGTGCAACGGATGATCCCACATCAACAATGTGGTTATGTTGCTCCCCCTAAATAGTTTGAATTTGAGGATAATCCTCCCTTTGAGCTTCTGAACCATATATGTCAACATCGTCATCATTTGGAAAGTCAAAGAAGTTGGCATAGTCTTCGTTATTTTTCGGAATGGGATCAAATTCAGTGAATTGATATATTGCATATTGAAATCCATCAATATTTGATTCGAGGGTTGGAAGACTATTCTCCCCCTCAGCCATAGGAAGAATACCTAAGTGTACCTTGTGTAGTCATCAACTATCACAAGAATATACTTTTTTTTGATGTAAACTTTCTACGGTAGATGGTCAACAAAGATCAATATGAAGAAGTTTCAATGGTTCCAAAATGGATTTTTCAATGATCACATGATGACCTTTCTTTTATTGCTTCCCATATTCACACACAACAAAGAGATGATCACTTTCGAATTTGAGTAGTGGCAGGGCATGGACCATTTCACCATAAACAAGATCATTCATGTATCGGAAGTTGAGATGATCGAGCCTCCGATGCATAGCCAACTTACATCAGGAATTGCCTTTGAAAGAAGATAAAGTTGAGGCTTTTCGGTGATCATGTTTATGTCTAAAGGATACATATTTTGATGCGATTTGATTATATAAGACATTATTTTTGGTCTTCTGTCATAATGTAGCTATGCTTATTGCATAATTCAACTCTTTGGTTTGCATCAGTGAGTTATGACACACTGATCAGATTATGCTTGAGATCAGCTACATATGCAACCTTAGAGATAGAGAAATTTCCATTGGTCAAGATGCCATAACCTTGAATTTGAGAATTAGAATTATTGCCATAAGTAGTGTGACCAGCGTTAGGAGCGAGCTTAAGATCACACAGAAAGTATTTTTGCCCAGTCATGTGCATGGGACAAGCACTATGAATATACCATATTGTATCTTGTTTTGAAGCACAAAATGCCTGCAAAATTAGTGAGATTTGTAGTTTTTACGCTCTGAGTTAGATTTGGGGACTTTGGCATGATCTTTGGACTTGGGTTGTGAATTCTGAGCAGTTGGCATTTCAGAAGGCTTTTTTCGAGATTCTTTTGGAAGAAGTAGAATGTCATGGTCTTTTCATTTATCTAAAAATCATATCCAACCAATGGTTGCTTGGATACTGCATTTCTCGAAGGAACAGGTTTTTGATATGTTGTAGGAGTAACTATGTTCACAGATCTTACAGTTGTGTTTTTTTTAGAGTTTTTCAATTTCCATTCTAACTTTTGTTTTGAGTTTTTGGAAGGTTTCTGAACAAAAGTGTACCTAGCAACTTGTCTTATGTTTTCTTCTTTCGAGAGCATGTTAGGTTTTGGAAATTGTTTTGGTTTGAAAATCATACCATCGGATTTTGCAATAACCACAGAAGAAGAAATTATCTTAGGAGAGTCAGTTTTCACATAGGAAAACTCAACATTGACCTTTTTTATACAACTATTGACAAATTTGTTCTGAACATCGAAACTAGCAAGATTAGATGGCATCTTAAGGATCTTGACAGGCATGAAAGCATTCCGATTCATAGTAGTTGGATTAACAGTTTGAGACACTTTCTTCACAGATTTCTTCACTAACTCTCCCCCACTGGGAGTGTGAACCCCCACTAACCGCAGTTCACAATCAATCACTGCCCCATTGGGGCTCAGCCAATCCATGCCTACTATAACCTTGTTCCCTCGTAGAGGAATAAGAACCCGGTCTACCGAAAAATGCTCATCAAATAACTGAAGCGAACACCCCTTATGCACTCTTGCGACCATGACGGTCCTATCATCATCTATCTCAACATCAAGTGGAAAATCTAGCTCCCTCGGAGCTCTGCTAAACCTCTTGCTAAGCGCAAGCGAAACAAATGATCGGGTAGCCCCTGAATCAAATAAGACTGTAGCTGAAATGTCGTTCACTAAGAACGAACCTATATAAAACATATAACCATAAGAAACAATTCATAACAAATAAAGAGATGAAAGGACGATACATACCCATCACCACATTAGGAGTCGCTCGTACCTCCCCTGATGTCATCTAAACAACTATAGTCTTCGCCACTGGCGCCTCACTCCAGCCCTGACGGCCGTCTGTAATCATTAATGTTGCAGGGGCAGGTGCTACCACCTTCCCAACTGCTGCCAAACTCGGATACTGGGACTTTTTATGTCCCCTATGATTGCAATGGAAGCAAATCAGATCAGATGTTGTGGTGGTGGTAATAGCTATACAATCCTTGCTTATATGCCCAGTCCGACCGCACTTGTAGCAATCGGCATTCCCTGCCTTGCACGCCCCATCGTGCAATCTCCCACACTTTCCACACCGACTGTGGCTCTGCTGACCCCTGG